GACCTTTTAATCCAGTGCTTATTCTACCTAAACATAAAGGAGCAGAATAGCTCCCAGTTCCAGATGTGAAATCAGAAGAAACTCAGAGGAGGAATAAAACAGGAAGGTAAAAATAGTGAAAAGAAATTCTAGATATAGGAATGTCTGAAAAGGTCCAGCAAACTGGTATGCAGGTCTCTAGCTTAATTTCTTCTCCATATAAAGAATGCCTTTTTAAAAAAAGAAAGTGTGTGTGTGTGTGTGTGTGTGTTTCCTGATGTAGGATGATCTAAGTGGCACCACTGAGAGCCCAGTGCCTTCTGACGTCTAGCAACAATGCCTTGCACAATATAGTTGCTCAATATATTTGTGGAATGAGTGAATGAGTGAATGAGTGGGTATGTCATCCTTAGACTCCCCCAATTCACCCACTTGCTCGGTCATGTCTGAAAATAGCCTATCAATGAATGGTAGCACACTGCAGTAGACTGACTAATGCTCTCCCTCAAAAAGATATCCATGTCCCAATTCCTAGAACCCATGAATGCTACCTGATAGGGCAAGAAAGGAATTTTGCCGGTCTGATTAGAGATGGGGAGATTATCCTGGATTATCTAGGTGGGCTGTAAATGCAATCACATGTATCCTTATATGAGGGAGGTAGAGACATGGATATTTGACATACAGAGAGAAGAGAAGTCAGTGTGACCACAGAGGCAGAAATTGGAGTGACGTGCCACAGACCAAGGAATGTAGCCGCCACCGAAAGCTGGAAGAGGCAAAGAATGGAGGAAGGGTTGCCCTGCCAGCACTCTGATTTTCACCCACTGATATTGATTTCAGCTTTCTGGTCTCCAGAACTGTAAGTGTATAAATTTCAGTTGTTTTAAGCCTCCAGGTCCGTAGCAATTTATTATAGCAGCCGCAAGTACAAATTTTGGTCCTGGGAAGTGAGATGCTGCTCTAATACATAGCTATAAAATGTGGACATGGCTTTGGAATGGGTAATGGGTAGAAGCTGGAGGAATTTTGACATGCATAATGAAAAAGCCTACATTGCTTGAAACAAACTGTTGGTAGAAATGGATGTTAAAGATGCTGCCAGTGAATACTCAGGAGGAAGTAAGGAGCACGGGGAAGAAAACCTATGTCGTGATAGAGAATACATACATTATTATAAATAGAATGTTGGTAGAAATTTGAGCTTTAGAGGCCCTGCTGGTGAGGACTCAGAAGGAAATGAGGAAAATATTTTTGGAAACTGGAAGAAAGAGGATCTTTGGTCTGTAATAGCAGAAAGTCTAGCTGAATTTTGTCCTATAGTTAGTTACATGGAAAGTAGAACTTGTAAGCAATGAGCCTGGATATTTTGCTTAGACTTCCAAGCAAAGTATTGAATGTGCACTGGTCTCTTCTTGTAACCTGTAGTAACATTTGAGAGGAAAGAGAGAGATAGAAAAACTGCTAAGCAAAAAGGAAACTGAACTTGATGGTTTGGGAGATTTTTAGCCAATCCAGACTGTAAAGGATACCCAAATTAGGAGACTGATGCTGAGGAAAGAATGCCATGAAGACAAAGCCAAAGGCAGAGCCAGAACAGTCTTTTGCTAGTGCCGTGGGAGGATGGAAAGATCAGAGTATTCCCTCGCACAAAGTGTCCTTTGAAGATATTAAGTGTATGACTAATGGATCCCCTCAACCATCGGAGCAGAAGCCAGGGGTAGAGATGAGATCGTCAGGAAGGATCTGTGGAGGAGCACCTTGTCCAACGGCGAGTCCCCTTGATATACTAGGACACCCACGAGGTTTTTGAGACTTGTTACACAAGCAAAAATGATACCTGTTTGAACAAAAGGGACAGAAATAGGACAAAATGAAAGAAGGCTGCTAGACTCCCAAAATTCCACAGGCAGGACAGAAGATAATAATTTTTGCTTTTGTTAAGCCACCCACTTTGTGATAAATGGTTGCAGCCACCACCAGAAATTAATACTCACACGTTAAGTGGTCAACTTGGGGTTTTTTAATTAAATCAAGTTTAACATTAATTACATCAAAATTAAATGTTGAACAGGGAGCATTTATAACATATGTATCAGGCATAAAAACTATGAAATAAACACCCATGTACCCACTGACCTGTTTAAGAAATAGAAATTAACATTACCTCTGAGTCCCCCATGTGTCTGAAAGCGTAGCCTCCTTGCTTTCCCCCAGAGGTAATTACTGTCTTGAATTCTGTATTTACCATTCTCTTATTCTTCTTTATTTATCTTGAATTCTGTGTTTGTCATTCTCTTATTCTTCTTTATTTTTTTAGGTATGCGTGTATCTCTGTGTTTACTTTTTCATTTTGCATGGTTTTAAATTATTCACAAGAAATCCTACTAAAGGTTTTGTTCTGTGACTTTTTTTATTTGCTTAACATGGAAATGTCTCATGTAGCGGTAGTCCATTCATACTAATAGCTGCATAACGTGATATTATAAAGACATACCACAACTTACTAATTCTTCAAGCAATGGACATGTAGATTGGTTCCAGCTTTTGGTTCTCCCAAACCGTATATGCTGCTATGAATATGACTATACATGCTTCTTGGTGCATTTGTGTAGGAGTTTAACTAGGGTCTATGCCTCAGAGTAGAACTGCTGAGTCACAGTGCCTGAGTACCTTCACCCTCACTCCATGTGTTGTGCAAAGTGTGGTACAGAAATTTAAAATTCAATCTCAAGTAGCCAGTTTCTTCATTTTTTAACCTCCCAACACATCTCGCTTCTGTAATTTATCTGATATTTAATCATATTTGCCCTTAATCTCTCTGATATAGGGTTACTTATGATTCACTCTTGGATTCTTGGTCATCTTTATCTGTGCTGGTGTTACATGCTCTTCTTGGGAGAGGAAAAAGAGCACAAGTATTCAATGAATAGATTCTGGAGCCAAATGTCTAGGCTGGAAACCCACTGTGCCACTTACAAGCTGTGTGACTTTTGAGCTGGTTACTTAATCTCTGTGCCTCAGTTGCCCCTAGTGTAAGTTGGGGAAAACATAGTACTTACTTTAGTACTTATAGTACTTACTTTAAAGAGTTATTGTGAAGATGAAATAAGCTGATATATGAAACCCTTAGAATAGTGCCAAGCAGAGTAAGCTCTATGTATGTGGTTGGCATTGTTATTATTCACGCCACAGCTCTTCATGAGAACAAACATATGGGGGCACCTGGGTGGCTCAGTCAGTTAAGCATCTGCCTTCAGCTAAGGTCATGATACCAAGGTCCTGGGATCGAGCCCCTCATCGAGCTCCCTGCTCAGCGGGGAGTCTGCTTCTTCCTCTCCCTTGCCCCCCATGGCTCACACTCTCTCGCTCTCTAATAAATAAATAAAATCGTTAAAAAAAAAAAAACAAACATGTAAAAAGTCAAATATTCTCAGTGGGTTACTATCTCACAATAGAAGTGATCAGGTTCAAACAGTCACATTTTCATGTCAGTAAATCTAAAACTCTTTCTCTGTGCATACACTTTGCTCCCATTTGACAGCAGAGCTTCCTACCAAAGTGGATCCCTCCAGTGAGCTCTGGATTCCATTCTGTTTCACCAGGACTGCCCATGGAGTCATTGTACCAACCTTGCTTTCTATGTGATCGTTCTCATCACATGTGTACATTCCCTAGAATCTTACATCTTAAAATTTATGATAACATTTATCATTATTAGAAATCGTCTCGTTCCTTCATTTGTTTACTGCTTTACATTCCTTCTCCTTGCAACTACCCCTATTCCCACAAGGAACGTAAGTGCCTCTTAAGGGAAAACATGTGCTAAAAGACAACATGAGATACAAAAGCTTCACTTTCTACAGATAGGAGGAGAACACATTTTACAGGTGACATGTTTATAGAATTCTCGGGAACATAAAACAGTAGCACCTACTATGTGCCAGGCATTCAAAGATGCCAGGGGTAGAGTGATGAAGAGGACGGATAAGGGGCATCCTGGAATGTCTGGTACATAGTAGGTGTTTAATAAAGAGCTGCTGAATGAATCTATTGATAAATTCATTTTAGTCCACAGAAATTACATCTCTGATGTTTTTTAAAGATTTATTTATTTGAGAGAGACAGAAAGAGAGAGCAAGCGAGCATGAGTGGGAGGGGTGGGGGGAGAGGCAGAGGGAGAAGCACACTCCCCGCTGAGCAGGGAGCCTGACATGGGGCTTGATCCCAGAACCCTGGGATCATGATTTGAGCTGAAGGCAGATGCTTAACTGACTGAGCAACCCGGGTGTCCTGAAATTACATCTCTGATTATGAATGAAAAACAACAGAAACATTCTTAAAATTCTTCTAGCATTCTTCTATTATCAATTTTTGAGGAAAAACACATAAACTATTTTAATGGATATGGATGTGGAAACACTAAAGGTATTCAATAATCAGGAAATTCAGAGAACACTGACACATACCTGCGCATATCATCACTTTGTGCTATTGTTTTATGTTCCCGAACATTCCATAAAGGCTGTGTTTGTGTCTGAATTTCTGATTTAGCTGTAAGGTGTAAAAATCCTACATAGACAACTTGGCTTTAGTTATATCAGAAGTGACTTAAAAGCAAAATATAGCATTCCAGTTATTCCTTGATGTTGACATCCCTAGGATAAAAAAAAAAAAAAAAAGCATTTGGAAGTAAGTTCCTATTAAAAAGGCAAAAGAAATATGAATAGGACACTACCTGTCCTGGGAAGTTCAGATTCAAAATGTAGATAGGAACTGTATGGGAATCCATTCCAAAATAACATCTCCACTTGTTATATAATAAGATAGATAATGGTTGCACAGACTTTGTATAAATATATCTTCAATGTCTGATGGTTTTCTCTTAAAAGGATAGCTTATTGATTTTTCTGAGAACTGTGTTCACTGAGCCGCCAACTTTTCCCCCTGACTTTAGTCATTCTTTTTCCCTTTGCCCTTCCCCCTCTAGGTTGGACTAATGAATACATAGGAGAAATGAGTAACGTAGGCAAAGACCTTTTATTTGTGGTTAGGCTTACATAGTTCCAAAAAGTAAACATAATTAACAAAACACCTACAGGTACCAGAGGAGGTGCTCCAGTATCAGTAGAAGGCACTGATCGTAAGAAAGCTTGATGTGGATCGTCACGTACAGAGGCCCGTTCGCTCCTGGCGAATGAATACGCTATGTGCTGAGCGTGACAGTTGGGAGGCAGGGGCAGGAAGAACCAAAGCCTCTTCTCCACTGGATTAGGCACCCAGGTCCTCCAGGCGTATTATCACAGATGACATGAAGGTGTTGGCAGTGATAGCTACGACAACGATCCCAGCTATGGCAATGATGCTGACGTCATCACCAACAGTTTGACAGGATCTAGAAATCCTTGGGGTGCTTCTCATCTAGTTGATCATCTCTGATCCATTCCTTGGACAGGCCACAAAATCCACTTTTACAAAAATGAATCCAATGCATATGGTGACCACTGAAAACACACCAGTCCTGGTATTTGCTAATTTGGAACCACGGTCAAAATACTATTGCATCGTTTTGGAAATGAGTCCAATCTAAGCTACAAGAAAATGTACTGTTAAAAAACACACATGGGTACTTTTGGTGGTATGGCTTTAAAACCCTGTGCTTGGCTATAAAAGCCTTACAAGCGAAGTTAATGAATAGCAATTTTTATTTTTAAAAAAGAGGAAAGTATTTTACTAGACCAAAATTAGTTTAAGACATACAAAAATCAAATTTTATGTAAACACCCTTAGAAAAACTGAATTATATAATTAAAACATTAAAAGTGTCCTTGTTACAAATTAATAACGAATGTGTTAAATTACTATATATTAAAGATATGATTTGAAAATTAGAGCTGTTTCAAAATACTATGTTCAAATCTCATTCTGTAAGAACCCAGGGAAGTTGCCAAATCACCACGCTGTCCTTCCACTAGGGTTTAATGGGTATACCGGGGGGGTTATTATGAGCCAGGAGAGAGTCATTAAGTAACATTCAAAGAAAAATAAGAGTAAAACATCAGGTACAAATTAATTTAATTCACTTCCTGAGACTTACACAGAGCTCACTGACTTGAATAAAGCACAACAACATTGTTTTTAAATATTGAGAACACCTATTTTCTGGCAGCATCCAGCATACTTTTGTGTTACAAGTAGGTCATAAAGATAGGGCTTCGGGGAGAAATAGAACACAGATGAACCTCTGAAGAAGTAGAAAACTCTAGCAGAAGACTTCTTACTCTCTTTTTATGAGGCACAAAGAGAAAAATAGATAAAACATAACAACCCTGATTATAGACTACAGGGGACTTCATATCTCGACTTTTATGATGTTTTATGAATGATATTTAATACAGCATTATTCCTACTGAATAACCAGAAAATAATTTTCATCATCAATAATATGGTTAAAAAGTTCACACCGTGGTAATATCCATGTCAACAGATGTTGCCTGTTCTATATGAAGTGTGTGTGTATATATATAGTATATGGAGAATATATATATATATATATATATATATGTCTAGAGCATATATATAAACACAGTCATGTCTTCTCAGTCTCAAGCCCATCTGACACTTTATAATGAAGAGAGAAAACAGGAAGGAGACTTCTGGTACCATTTATTAATAAAGCTGCTGTATCACAGCTTGAAAAAAACACAGTAATCGTGGTATATTACAGTAACTGCATAATGCAAAAGCAAATGATTTTTTTCCCAGAAAAAAAAATCTGTTTTCCCTATGACTCTGCTTCCTCCCCCCTCAAAAAATACCATATACATAATTTCCACCTAAAGTCAGAAGGCTTCCAATGCCGGGTGGCACACAGAAGCAGTAATGATCACAGCTCAGCAGGACTAGGCCAGTCTCCACTTCTGTCTCTGACCCAAACTGTGCTCACAGGCCGGCACGTTTTATAACTCTTCCTTAAGGCCTTTCTTTGTCTCCTGCCTGGCTTTGTCTTCCTCCCTGGGTGCCAACCACGTGAAATACACTTTTACTGGATCGATGTTCCAGTGTTTGTGAAAGGATACGGGAACTTGGTGAGAAAGGTAGTCCCTGGGATAATCCACGGGCCGAGCCTGTGGGAAGAAGAACAGAGAATTACATTCCTTTATTCACTGAAAACAATTTTGCTTCAGAATAGCATTTGAGGGTGCCTGGGTGGCTCAGTTCATTAAGTGTCTGCCTTCGGCTCAGGTCATGATCTCAGGGTCCTGGGATCGAGCCCCACATCGGGCTCCCTGCTCGGCGGGAGACCTGCTTCT